AAAAAAAAAAAAGTCCCTAACATTCTGTGATTACGACTGTTTTGGCAAGTTATCCCTTATTATACTTAATTTTTCGTACACTCTAAATGGTTGTTGCGGTTGCGATTTTAATTGATCAGTAGTAGGACCTGAAAGTATCTGTAGATTCTAAAAGCGAAAACATTATACTTTGATTGTAATTATCATTACTGTTTTGTTCGTTATTGGCCGTATTAGTTTTATCTTATATTTTAGGATTTTAGAACTGGATTTAGGTGTAGGTGAACTGGATTTTACTGTTACTGATAAATACTTAATTGTTTTTTGTTTTTGTCATTAACTTTTTGGTACTGTTGTTTTTTGCATTGGCTTACGCTGATAATCTATCAACGTTTCCGCGTAAGATTCATCTATAGGCTGTAGAAATCTCTTTATGAATTGATGACATCCTCCAAAAACTCAACTTTTAGTTCATCTATCGCTTGTACATAGTTTAAATCAAAGTGACAAATTGGACAAAAATGATTAAAACTTTATTACCTAGCCGTAGGAGGTGCACTCAATTTCATAGGCCGTTTGGAGTAGTGAAATAAAATTGAAAATAAAATTTTCCCACCTGTTTAAAATTTGAACAGCGTTTAAGGGGGTTTCAGAGTCTTATCTGGTAAGGTAATTAATTGTTCAGTAAATTTGTTTTCACCAAATAACTTTTGTCCATCTTAGTTTGCTATAACTCTTTATTGTCATGACAAGGAACAACTCATTTGTTTCTTTATTACTAGGAAGTTGCTTTCTTGTTAAATTTCTACGTTTTCTTTTATGTTTATCGATATTCTAGAATTTGTTTGCGGGGCCACTTTTACTGCAGAATTTTTAAAATTGTCTTAGGAAATGTTATATTTTTTTGCAGCAGTCTGGCTACGAGGATTAAAACTTCGTTAATACATCCAGCACACTTTGGAACTTGAATACACCTGACAGTGTACATTACACTCATCATGTCTGTTGCCACCAAGAGGAGATACGTCACAAAAATGATGGAAAGCGAACTAGTTTTGCCCGATGAGGATGATAAAGTAGCATTAATTCTTGCTTCACGGGGGAACAACCTTCATGAGGTTATTTTCGAACTTCTCGTTTTATTTTCATCAAGGAATTTTAAGGTTCTCCTCTGTTTAGAGAGCACCATTTTGATTTTACTTTACACCTTTTTTCGCAATCCGCTATATTTAAGACCTCTGTCAATGACCTGCTTGGTTAAGGAGCCCTTCCTCAAGTAGTTTTTGTTGTATTATCAAGGTTAAACGTCTTCGTTTAGGTTGAAGACGAAAACGGGAAAAATTATTTGGTAAGTATGCCTACGAAATTCCGCAAAGCTGTTTGGATAAAACGTGGCAAGTTTGTGTTAGTGCGTCCCATCAAAGAAGGTTTTAAAGTGAAAGCTGAAATCTCGCATATTTTAGATGACGAAAATATCCTGTACATAAGAGAAAAAAAGCTTTGGCCACAGAGGTAATTTTTGCCCAGTTTACGAGTCTGCTATCTAAAAAACGGGGTCTCGCCTGTACAGTGTTTTCATTTATTTTGTTTGATATTAAAAAGTAGGATTACTCTTTGTAGAACATGTCTTCACTCATTTTTTATGTTATTGAAAAGTATATTGACGGTTCTTGGTGTCCTCATTTTACATTATCAGTTTTTACGGGGCCTGAGGGCGCAAAAAGTAGTGAGACTTAATTTTCTCGGAGCCGTCCCATATTAATCGGAAATTGAAAAAAAAAGTAAAGTTGTTACTTGAAATTTCCGCGTTTGTGTCCCCTTCCGGATTAGACTGGCATTCGTATGATTTGTGAGTAATTTGCAGCACAGTCCTTTGACAGAATTACTTTCCTTTTGTACACCGTTCTATCGTCCTTGACTTTTAATTCCTGCTTTCTAGGTTTGAAGCCTTTGCTGAGAAGATGACTCGCGAGGCAAGAAGAAATAAGGAAAGTACCGATAATAGGAAACATGAGTTTATTGACCCCGATATGCTCCCTCCCAGCGACAGTGATGACGAAGAGGGTAGTGATGACGGTATATTTTTCATTCATTGATAAATTTTTGTACCACTGGTTCCCCACACTCAATGATGCTGTACGTCAATAGGCGAATTCGAAGCCTCTTTCACTTTGGAAAATTTACTTTTCCGCACAGGCCCCTCAAAACCTCATCATTTACTGAAGATCGGTGTTTCAATATTTAGAAAATGACGATGTTACTGATGGGGAAGACGAAGAGTCCGACGAATGCGAAGCTCCAGCTGGTATTTGTAATCCCAACAGAGGGCGTCTCTAACGTCCAGTTCTACGCATTACAAATGTGTCATTTAGTTTTGTTCACTGTGCTTTCAATTACAGGTCCCCGACTTGGGGTCTGACAGTCTAGATGGTTTTACTAAATAAATTATTACAGTGTGCCCATTAGGCGTAACGAACAAGCCTGACGGGGTTCGCCAGCCAAAAATGACGTTTTTGTAGTTCTGTGAAGTTATTTGAAAAACAGTTGCAGAACTAGTAGACACTAATAGCAGTCACTTTGACTTTGGCAGATTGCAACAGCCGTCCTTGATCCCCTGCATTCACAACTATACACCCACAACCCCCATAGTTAAATGAAGTACTAGTAGCCGTACACTGCAACATACTTCCCCTTGCGGCCTACTACAAACTGCACAATGGAATCTCAAAACGAGCGATGTCTCAAGCAGCTGGACGTATGCAAATTAATACTTGGAAAGGTCAACTACAGGTCTGCAGCGCCAAACTTGCCTGCACCTCATCAACTCGACGACAGACTAACTCATGTGAGGCTACTAGTGCTGCAACTTTGCCGAACAACACTAGATGGTTGAGCACGTTTTTCCTGGCAGTAATTCGATTTTATCCAAGTGGCCACGTCCTTCACACCAATTCTGCTTGACCAGCGCTTGGAGTTGGATGGTTGCAGCTTCCATGTTCTCGCCCTCTAGCAATTCCTGTTCCATTTCTAACCACCACCCTTACACCAACTGTTAGCACGTCCTTTGTTCTTCGTTGTGCGACCCAAGTCTGTACACTGTAGCAATCAGGCAAAGATCCAGAACTACCATTTCATCCGTGAGTCCCTACAAACAGCCAAGAACTCGTTTCAGAACAACACTGTCGGAAGCTAAAAGGCAACCTCGATTCAACCATTTCTCAACAGCATTTCACCAACGTATCGTCAACATACTCTGCTGTAACGCTTAGCTGACTGCAGTAGCAGGGCGCTCAAGGCGCAGAACTTGCTACCACTGCTGAATGGCACAACGGAGTAGTAGTGTGAGAAGACTTTTATAATGAACTTTTCCCACACAACGCCATTAATAACTCCACCAGAAACGTGTTTAACAACTAAAAGTAATTACATCAACAGGAAAGCAGTTACTTTTTTTAAACAAGCTAACTGGAACACAGTATCCAATTTGTATCCACTTAACAACACATTTATAAAACATCCAACTCTTAGCTTTGAACTACTTAGATCCCATCGAGTAAAGAAGGTGCCCTGCCGCCGACCGCCGGCTGCTTCATAGAAACCTTTAAGAAAGAGAACCTTGGAAAGATCACTACGTGAAATTTAAACCATTGAATACGAGCCAGTGAAAACAAACCTGATATCTAATACTGTCAGCTAGGGAGGAAATAACGACTTCCACTACTGAACAAAGCTGAATTATTTGCTCTACAGATGCATTTGTATTTTCATGCGAATCCCAGTAGAGTGTTAAAGCCGGCAACGTGCCCTCAGTGAGCCTTGGTTCTCTTACCACGCGTAATTTCTAAAAACAGTATTTTCCAGTATCCCACATTCAAATGAACCTTTTGCATGGTAACCACAGAAGAACTGACATTTGCGTAGACTCTAGCTACAATGCCATATTCGACCACCAAAACGTCAAATGCCGCATCCAAAATTTGCACTACTACTGCTCGTTCCGTTAACGGACCGTGTTCCTGTAAACGAGTAACATCACTTCTATAGTTGCTAAATTAACTGCTAACTTACTTTCACATAGAGCCCAAAAAACATATCTTCGTTGGCTTCATAAACACTCCTGGCTATATGTTCTCTATCATTACAGTGCGTTGCAAGATTCGCCACTTCTTTAACAGAAATTCGAGGGGGTGGTGTCTGGCCCACTGCAGCTGACAGGAACCGTTGGACCTGAATTATTGCACTACTTTTCCCAATTATTCATGCTACCAGTTCTCCAGTATGTGTCAAAAACTCGGTACACTTTACATACCACTATATCAGCATAACGGTTTAAAGGAGAAGTAAAGTGTGTGTATAATGGGAGAGCCAACGAAAAGTGGACGTAATCACTTTTTTCTTTTACGGAACCTGCACAATAATATTCCGGCAACTGCATCGGTTTCGAGAGGAAGTACGAAATGACCTAAACAAACAGTCTTTGAAAGCTATTGAAGTCAATCCCATCCTTTTTCATCACCCCTTTTCCCACTGCCCTCCATGTGATAAAATGACTCTCAACGTTTGCATCCATTACGAAAAGAGGTGAAAGTGAACCTGGTATTACTTCCAGCCCTGTGCTTTCTTTCCCAATCGTCTTGACTTTTAGGATGCCTTGTATATTTGAAATTAATTCCCCAAATTTCCGTATGTACCAATTCAGTTAAGAAAAACAGGTGCAGACAGTTCGCCTGCAACTTTAGGATATGCATAACAAACCCGCAACAAAATGCTTTTATTTTCGTCGTCCCCATCATAATCGCGCAAACAAGACTCGATTGCTTCTTCAGTACATGTGTGCAAGTCAACTCCTATCCTTCTTATCTTCTCAAGCATCTCATCCAGCATCTGAAAATACAAAGGAAAACGAAGTCAATGAACGACATCAAAAAGCAGCCACCTCAATAATTTGTCCGTGAAACGAGTGCGATATGCGCTAATTCATCTCATTAACTAAAGAACCAAATACCTTAGTCTTTGGAGGGCATTGTCGCCTTAACAACGCTGTTCCGCCAAAAACCTTTTGTATTTCCTTTGCCACTGATGCATTGGCGAATCTGAGAATCTCCTCGACAAAACTTCCAAACTTAGCCTTCTGAAAGTTTAACCTAAGCCCCATCCGCAACAGGTAGACTAAATCTTAACTGGGAAACTGTTGTTACGACCGCACATGCAGTTAAAGGTGTCCTAGGCAACTTTTAAGAAACCTTGAACAGTTTTTATCAGGAAGAAGAGCGGACAGCGAACAATAGTAAGTCACTTCCATCAGACATATCTTTTAACAAGTTATCTCAAAAATGTGATGGAAAACTGGATTATCATAGAAACATTTTTCCTGCTCCTCTTTCTACAAATAACTGTAGTTTCATCGGCTACTTCAAACAACAACTCCTCGCACACCATCTCCAGTGTTATGCTAGTTATATTAACTGTCGTCTAGAGAACTAGTTTGGAAACCAGGAAGAGGGGAGTTTACATATCATATAATAACCACCATTAGAGACAGTTCAAAAAAAGCATTGAAATGGGAGGGGATGATTCATTAAAATGTCTACACAGGACTGCATTAAAAATTTACAGGCTTACATGATGAACCGTAACTGCTGACGGCAAACCGCTGCTATCGTTCATATGAAAAGCAATGTCAGCTTTTTGAAGCTGCATCGACCCGTTCTCATAACGTTTTTCTCGAAGGCAGGTAGCCAACTAAACAAAATGACTTCTCCACAAAAAAAGCTAACTATCGGACAGTCAATACTACGAATTTATAGTATAGGTAACGTGCAAAATTAGTAACAAATCAGGTCATCTGCACGAAAGCAAAGTAACAATACATAAACAGTTCAAGGAGGACAATTTTGCACACCTTCTTCAAAAAACAAAGCGACTTCCCCAAAATGACTGTATCCTCGTCCTCTGACGGTATTGTTTCTGACGTAGTATTTACAAATTGCTCGGCAATAATATCCTAAAAATTACCTTGTTAAGGAAGCTTATAACTTTAATGGACTCAGTCTTGCGTGTTTAAGCACTCAGTCGTCACAATTACAGTTCGAAGAGAATTTTGATGCAGATTGGTTACAGACCGGGAGTCAACAAGCGTTTTCTGTAAGTCTTCATTCAACGTGTCTAAACTTAAGTTTCGACGCGACTTACACTCTATTATCCATTATACATATAAGAACAAAATGTGATCTCAAACGCATAAATGTTCTGAAAGTATCTTTCCGAAAAACTCGGTGAATGAACTAAACCTTGCCACTTAAACTTCAAAACCACTCTCTGAGTTCTTTTAAGAACAACATTAAGTAGGACTTGTACTTAGAAAAACTTCACTGCTGGCTTCTGATTAGATAAGTTTTTGCCAAATACATAAATGAAAACCTGAGCTTGCTCCACAGAAACCTCCTTTTTCAGGCAAACCACAGATCGTCCAAACCACTCACTGTGCACGACAGCATCCTCATCCATAATCCATACTACAGACAAACACAAACGATCAGAACCTACACTTAAGGAGCATATTCCTTCCACTAAGACCGGAGGCAACATTTGAATCACCTAAAAAACTACTTTTAGACGAAATATGACGTTATAAAAACATTTAAAAAGTAACCTACTGAACCAAAGCAGATCATATCAATAAACAGTAGCAGTAAGGACCAAGACAGTGCCCCTATAAGACCTATCCCTTCACACGAGGACACAACGGAGTTCCGCAGTTATAAGTACTAAACCGACTAATGACAACACACTTAACATTTAATATTCGTGTACAAAAAAAAATTTGTCGAAACTCCACGACATACATCAGTGACCAAAGTGACAGAAGTAGCACGGAACGCTGCCCATTGGTCTAATTCAGTAGCTGGGTTTACGAAGTAAGCAACATCAACGACATGGACACCGATCTGTAAAAAAAAAAAAAACGAAGCTGCTAAGTATAAAAAAATAATTATAACGCCAATTAAAAAGATCACCTCAAACCCAGCCGTTCCTTTGCCATCAAAATCTTCTATACGTTTGACATGAAATGCATTTTCCAACGCTGCGTTCTTCCTCATCCTGACCGAAAAAACGTCATCTTCTCGAAAATCACGACGATACTTAAACTCCTTCTGAAAACACATCCCAGTAAAAAAAGCATTGTCAAGCAAATAAACAAACCTCATCAATCTTCCAGTTTTCTTCTTGTACGATCTGTAGCGAACCAAGTACAGAAGCAGGGAAACTCCTTGTATCAACTGCATTAGCCAAGAGTAGTCCTTCAGTCTCCGCACTTATATCCCCAGCAACACCCAAACTCTTGTATAACTTCCTACAAGGCATGCCACCGTTAAAAACCGACTATGGCTTCCATAGCCAACAGAGGAAACCGGAAAAACCGGAAAAAAGTTATCTTGAGGAAACTGAAAGATTTCAAATGCACACAGTGCAAGTGTAGAAATGTAGACTTAATCAGGAAAAACTACAAAAACAAGGTGATCACAGCGGAACTCTACCTCTTCTACAGGCTCCACAAACTATATTTAAGAAGTGACAAAAAACTTGATTACCACCTTCATGTCATAGGAACAAAAGGTTGTAAAAACAAACACTTCTTACTTCCAATTTCATCTTACCACTGTACATATCTACACTACTTCTTCATTATATATAAGTCACTTATACCTAACACCTCCCCAACAAAAATTACACGCTGCAGTTCTTCAAATCATCGCTGCTATTCATCCGACTAAGTGAAAGACATCTACTCGATCTTCTATATCCTCCTAAGCAAGTATACAAGCCGAGAGAATTTTCTAGATCCAAATCATTAATAAAAAGCTACCCTCTAGCAAACTGGGCGGTAGGAGGCGAATGAACCATTCGAGCAACGTATATGAATTTAGTGAAGTCATGTGGCCTGTCAAAAAATCCTGCAGGAGTTTCCTCAGCCGGTATCATCATTCGCGGCATGCGAGAATCATTTGGTGAGAACAACGCCCACTTCCGGTTGCCATCAGCCATTACCTTCAGCATCCCAACAGCAGCACGACTATTTTTATGTTCAATGATGCAAACCACCTATAAACCAAAAAACCCTCAATCGCTCGTTCACCCACAGCTTAAATCTGCTAGACAACAAAAATGTCTTCGAACAGGCTTGGCAAAAAAAATTTGACCTCTGCAGTTCGTTGTAAACATATATTAGGCATTCCCCAATATTCGTCCGGTAAGTCGCGCAAGAAATAGTAACGACGATGCAAAACTAGTTTAGTACCAGAGTGCTGTGATCCATTAACCGACCGATTACTGCTTGGTGATGATGACACGCTGTCAACACTCCTAAAGCACATATTAAATAGTCACCCTGAACAAACACTCATTTTACAATTGATTTTTAACGAACATTTAATTTTAGCTCAACCCTTTCAGTAATATCTGGAAATCTACGCCAAATGTGTGAAAAAAGCTTGTACTTAGGGGATGTACACTGTGGTTTGATTATGCACAAGTCCACCAATTTCTGTAAAACGTCACCGCGAAGCATAGAACCTACTTCCGTCCCAAAACATCGCGAATTGTCAATGACCAACTGCATTAAATTTTTGTTAGCCAACTAAGAAAATTAAGAAGTGAGAACAGCTTCAGAAGAAGCACTACCTTGGCTAAGATTAAGAGCATCTGTTCCCTCGTAAACTTCCCAATAGGTGGCACAAACATTTTTTTTGATTTCTGCAGCAGGTCTCTCTTGTCATACGAAAACGGAAGCTGAATTTACCAGTATTTAACGCGAAGTACTAACTTGTTAAACTAAGAATTTGTAATAAAAGTTGTCCATAGAACACATGTGACATGAGTGCTGGGGACATAAAAGATGGCATTACCGTTCCTGGAGGCACTAAAAGCGCTATCAAAAAGTCGTTTCCTTTTGTTTAAAGAATTAAAAATGCTCAAAAATTTCTACTACTCAAATATTAAAACCTACATACATTTAAAGAATCCATCATTTCTTCTTCCTCAGCTAAACTCCTGATCGGAGGAACAGTCACTGGTCTACCGTCTTCGTCAATGGAAGTTTTTAAATGACTCTCCCTCCAAGCACAAAACAACGCATCTCTTACCTTGAAATCTCCATAATGAAGAGCATATAGGAAATTTTCAAATGAGTGAAGCAAAGTTATTGGGCTAAAACTAACAAGCCAATTCTCTCTATCTTTCACACGGACAATGACTACATCACCGTGAAGTGCACGATTTCTATCATGTAAACCAAAAATCAAAAGATCTTCCTGGAGATCGCCACTTGCATTTATCAAGAAGGATTCTTCAAAACTGCGTCCATTTACATGCAGAGTACCCTAGAATCAGCAAAATAATTATACAGAAAAAGTCCAAATTATGTAAAAATTACCTTGTACAACTGTCCTTTTGCCACGCCACGCGTTGCTGCCTCCACACTCATGTATTCTGAGAAGTACAATTTTTTATCGGTGATCCTCTTCCCATTCAACTGACTATTCCTAACTGACGGCATAGTTCGAGGCACTTTAAAAAAAATTTAGTTTTTTACTGGTTGCATCATGCACTCAAATACAATGGGAAGCTAAAAAAACTTTAGTGGATGAAAAAAAAAGCTGAACAAACTTGTTCCGATTTCTCCCTTTTTTAAAGTGTTGCGATTGGTAGTTAAATGCACTGTGTCGGAATCGTAATTAGAAGGTCTAAAATGATCACCCGGTATCAGCTCTGTTCCATGACTTTCATCAGCAAGACGGCCTTAATTGAACAAGATGTTATATTTGTGTTCGACTTTCCAAAAACGTCTTTGAATAGTATTTATAAAGTGAAGATCTATGTCCCCTTCTATTGGTTACCTCTCCCATAAGTATTCGAGTGGGCTAGTTTCCCTCCTTGCGTTAAAGAATTTCTTTCCGTACTTCCTACATCTGATATCACATTTTTCAAATCCGAGTACTGACCAGCTGCAGGAATTTCTACACAAATTAAAAAACACGAAAAAAAATGACTGAATTAGGCGACACATACCGACTGAATAGAGTTCAGTGGGAAAGCTCGGTAACGGTAACCGTTTTCTTGAAACATCCGTGTTGTTCGACGATGAGAAGGTATCATTGGCACCAAAATTATCTGCGAATGGTGAGCAGTTCAGTGATGGCATCCAAGTTCGTTTACCCGAGCGACTATGATTACGCAAGTTTTCTAAGAACGTTTGAACATCATACAATTTTTGAAAACCCATTACTTCATCAACAGAAACTCGCCCAGTTCTAACCTGTAAGCAAAAAAAGCTCCTGAAAATTTGCTTTAATAATTTGGATGCCCAAAATGCTTAAACCAAATCATATCAGAAAAAAAGCAATAACAGGAAAGAGATTAAAGAGAAAAGAAAACTGTTTGTCATCAGAAACCTGTACGTTCATTTCCTCATCTAATTCGTTTCAAAACAATTCGTCTAGTAAAAAAAAAAGATGGAAACGTTATATAAACAAGAGACAACGGCATTAAGACCACAGTAATTTAACCAACCGCATGAGTATTCCGTTGTGATTGACTGCGTATTTTACTTAGCATTGCATATTCGTCGATACTAAGAAAACGTCTTGCACCGTTGTCTGGTTGACCATTGTCTGGTTGATAAGTGGTACGCATTGTTAAAACCGAAAAATTTTTGCTTATCCGTAATACTTACTACCTTCAATAAAACTAAAGTAGGAAAAAAAAAAAGCAGAAAAGCAAAGACTAACAGGCAGATGCAGTGTTCAAGAAAACAGAACTAGCGCAACAAACACAGATAAGTCTTGACCGCACCGGTGCAAAGAGTAATCGACAATGACGATCCAATTTTTTAACAGCACTAACAAAACTGTGCTACTTGAAGCGCCTTCTCGACGACAACAGTTTTATTGGCTGTCCCTCAA